AAATGGCACACAGTCCCATAGAAAACACGCAACTTTCAGCTTGTTACTCTCCTCGTCGTTCGACACCCCCATTCGAACATTTCTAAACCGAGATCGCTTCAATTTTTTCAAACTCTAACCTATTTTACCGATCTAAACATTCAAATGGATTTTTTCGGCCCATTTTTCCGGGGTTTCGAAACCCCATTACCATTTTCAACATCATTAACAGATTTAGAAACGAATTTCAATCCCTTCCATAGTCTCTGCTATACTAATTCAGTGATTAGATTCTCAACTGACCGCCATCCATGAGAAGAGGACGCTAAAATCACCTCCGAATTTTCAGGTCTAGTTATTCCACTCTACAAAAGTAGGGGCTCATGTCCAAATGTTATCTGTAAAAAACTAAACGTTTGTGGCCAGCCATTTTAGAAAAAAATGACATCAAAGTTTAAAATTTCGAAGTTGTCGGATCGAATTCATTTTTTTTTATAAACGTCTAGTATTTTACAGATTACATTTGGACATCAAATTTGGTTGAAATTCTAAGAAATTCTTAGATTCATCTAAGAGAAACGCTAAAGATTCTGCATTTGGATACAAATTGTAAAATAAAAAAAAAAAATTATCTTTTTCTCGTTACATCAGAAATTCGACGTCTAAAAGCAAGAGAATTTGTTAAGTCGATAAACTAATACGGGGAGCACGTTTTGCAAAACAACGGAGGCCGGGGCTTTTTCGTTTTCCCTTTTCATTTCCCGTTCCAAGCCTCCGGGAGAGCCGGGAAAGTTGTCGATCGATTAATTCGGAACAAGACATCTCGTTTTTCCGGCGCAGTTCTATTCGACGAACGGCGAGCACTGTTTTTCCAGGATGCAATTTACAACCGGCCGGTCGTTCGTGTTCCTGCAGCGAATAGTCGCAATCGGCTCGGTGCAAACAGACGTGATTGCCTTCCAACGATCTATGTCTGGTCGTCTAGCCCGCTATTGCTCGTTCGGTCATTTTTCGGTCGAGCCTCTTCGCCATTTTACGCGACCGTTTTCTTTCGGACGAACGATCCAGAGAACATTTGCATCGAGTATTCGTCGTCATGGCCGATCACGAGCACAGAAAAAGCTCTAGAATTTTGATTCCCTTGTTCTTAAAGATCAATTCGAGCCCCAATTCATTTTCAGGAAGAATTTATAATAATACTCGAATATTAAAGCAAATTAAAGCATTCAACCTGAGGGTAGGTTTCGAAAAAAGTGTTTCGATAAAGACTTGTGAAAATCGTGCAATTTGCAAACAAAAATTACATACTTTGACTTTTGAATCATTTTGGAGTCTCTAATTTAACCTCTTCACGCCCTTGGCTACATATATGGACGTTTAGTTTTTTATAGTTATAGATACTGTCAATAATAAATAGACCAAAATTTTCACTACAGATTATAAAAAAAAAAATCGTCCCTGAAGAGGTTCAACAAACACGTTGCAATAAAGTTCGCGTGCAATAAAATATACCTTATGTATTTCAACCATAAAGTTCGTATAACATACTCCTACAGAATATTTAAAATTGAAACATCGAAATATATTTATCAAAAATACCTTGAGTCGATATTTCAGCTTTCATAAATTCTACCTAACCCAGACCAGATTTTAATCTATTTATTATATTGATATACAACTTTACAATAAACTACAAAAGCTGCAGTTATTTTTGGGAAAGCTATTTTAACGAAAGCTGTTTTAATTTCAAATTTTGCACAGAAATATTGGGGGTTAAAGTGGATATACGATGAATATTAACTCTTTTCAAGGTTCCACCGTTTCAGGAGACTTGTTTCGAGTAACAGCTAAATAATTAGCAGCGTCTCAATCGCAGCACGCTGACTGCTGTGCCTATCATTTTTCGTTCAACAATCTTTCAAGAAAGATCCGACGTATCCGGATGTTTGAAGCCGTAATTGCACGTCAGGACGATAAATCTCTTCCGTGAAAGAAATTCCCGATCCGCGGCACGCACTCGGGATGGCGACAGGATCGTTCTACAGGAAGGATAAAGGACAGGACGTAGATAAATCATGGTGTTTCACCGGGGGTGGCGAAGGGGTTGGGACAAGCCTTTGGATACAGGGAATCGACCCGTGGATGTTTTCGTTTCACCCACGGACTGACGTCCCTTTATCTTCCGGGAAGAACTGTCGCGGGCTTTCGAGGGTATTTACGTAAACGGTGGGAGGATTCTGATTCTATAAAAACCGTCGACGATATTGTGGAGTGATATATGCGGTACGACAACTTTATGATTTACAATCGTACGGAATGGTATCGATCCGTTACGCCACAGACAGTTCTGGTGGATTTATTCTTATGGAAAAATCCACCACCGCTATTGTTTTGCACTAAAATATTGATGTTTGCATTTTGCATGTGTACGTAAAATTCACGCGATCTTAAATCTTGAGAAATTTAATTTAACCCAAAGGTGTACTTCATTTCCTCGAAACGAAGTATTTTCTGAAACAATTACTGTTACAGATAATTGCTCGAAGGCATTGAACTGGAGAACGTATGTAGGGATCGAGGACAAAATAAATATTGATATTTCCTTTGCATTTTGCATGTGTACGTAAAATTCACGCGATCTTGAATCTTGAGAAATTTAATTTAACCCAAAGGTGTACTTCATTTCCTCGAAACGAAGTATTTTCTGAGACAATTACTGTTACAGATAATTGCTCGAAGGCATTGAACTGGAGAACGTATGTAGGGATCGAGGACCAAATAAATATTGATATTTCCTTCGACAAAACAGGCCAGTTTCTCTTTGTTCAAGTTCAACTACCCCTGACTCCTGCTAGGAACAATGGAGGATGCAGAAGTACACAGGGCGAGTCACGCAATCTCTTGCAAGTCAATGTCTCTGAGTAATCAATGAAGAGACGGAGCAGAAATGCTCGACGTTGGTTTAACACTCCATTGTATGAATATTAATCTATCTTGCGAAGAAGGAAATTATGTTACACTTAATTTGGGTGTTAACAAGCGACAGAGTCAGCAATCTTACTCAAGAATTAAAATAAAATACTAAAAATAAAATTCTCTTATCCAAGTTCACCTACCCAAATACTATGATTCAATTTCAGAAAAGGATATCTTCTATAATATGTACAATACTTGAAATTTTACTTTAAACGATCCAACCTTCCACGTTATAAGTCCAAACTCCACATTATAACTTCTTGCTATACAATAACAACAATAAAATCTACAAATTTCCGCCCTCTGTTAATTTTTTGCAAGCACTGCAAGTACAAACGAATTTAACCAGACCAGTGTCCATTTTAAAATCACTTTCAACTAAATATTTAAGACGAGAGTATAACCTGGCAAATTCATGAAAACGACGTCTACTTTCGACGGATAATCAATAATAAATATTAAAAGAGGGAATAAATATTAATATTTCCCCGTCTATAAAAGAGAGAATAGTCGATGCAACGTCTTCGACCAGTTTCTATCTGTTGGAGTTCAGTGAACTAAAACTATCGAGCAACAGTCGGATGGCATGCAGAAACGTGCGTTCCCCGTTCCTGTCATAAATAAACGAAGACGCGAAGTTGGTACGGCGACCGCAAGAACCGACAGTTGGCCGGACTGCGGAACACGAACCGGCCATTCCGTTCTCCGTACGCTTGGGACGGCCTGGATGGATGCTTTTATTCTCCGCTGACGGCTTCTTATCTAACGCGGAAGTTGAACCGCCTCGCGCCGGTATCCGCGAAAAGAAATCCAATTTAAAGTTCACTTATCAGTCACGAAGTTACTTGTATCGGTCATGTTCCACCCTTCGACGAGTGGGCCGCCGCACTCGACAATTGATCGGCGCAATCGGTCGAAGATACTTTCTTCTTCGGGCTCGAAAGATAAATCAAAGTTCAAGATAAATCTCCCCCGACCGATAAGGAACCTTCCAGGGCAAAGGTTTCTCGATCCTTGCTCGGGACGAGAGCGAAATCCGATTACAACTCGCTGCGATTTAATTTTTATGAGACGAAAACTTTCATTTCAGACAATTTCAAACCGTGGTACACGAATTAAAATTTGTCTTATTAATTATTTTCGCGACCACGCCAAAATTTGTGAATACTATTCAAATTAACATTTTGGTTTGAGAATTCATTTTAAAAGCTTCACTATATCACTGAGTCCTAACACACCCCATATGATTAACTGTAATTGCTGTAAAAGATAAAATTTTAAATAGGGAATAGAAGGGAGGCACAAAAACGAAAACTATGGAATAGAATTTCATCGAGGTTTGATTTCAGAGAAAATCGAATTAAAAAACTCGTGAGACAAGTGTCACTTTGGTTTAGACTTTAATCAAGTTGTACCCAACAATTTTTTCGAAATCGGTTTTCCGGGAAACAAAACCTCGCGTAAAAATGAAAAAAATCGTACTCCACATTTTCAATTTACTTTGACATGAAGAATCGCTCTATATCCGCTCGGGACCGCGAATTCTGGTCCGCTGTGAACAAAATGGTGGTCGATCTCGGTCGTGCAAATATTAAAAATCAGTTTCCTCGAGAACGAAGTCACCCCCAAAAAATTACTCGATTATACCAGGAATTTTAACCCATCGAGTACGTATGTATATTTTTTAGCTAGATTTCCTTTTCATTGTACGGTAAAAGCAAGAAAATTGATCGAACGTGTGTTCGTTCTTTCGTTTATCAACCCCGTTCGTAACAACGTCTTAAATGTACGCGTCAAAGAATCAATTTTTCAGTGCTCCGTTGAACACCGGTAGAATTTATGGATTCCACGTCGCGACCTTTGGCCCGATGATGTATGTTTCAATAATTGCAAAGGAAGCGAGCCAGCGGAAGGGAGATAACCGTTGGCAGACGTCCCTGTTCGTTTCTTGCTGGTACGACAGGCCTTAGGCTCTATTCTTACCAACTGTTTCTTATCCTGAGGGAGGCTGGAAGGATTGCCGGAATCTCGAGTGGAACGCTTACCCGGATAAAGGAAGAGCCTGGATCCGATGACGGCCAAGGGTCGCCTCTTCCACTGGGGAAAAACCAACCCCTTCAACACGAGCGCGTACCCGCAACGGCTGTATCCCACCAGGTCGGCCAATGGCGATGCGGGACCTGCAACAAAAAGATAAAGAAACGAGGAATTACGGTTCTAATCAACGCCCTAAACAAATTGGTAAAAGAAGGGGTTGTTCTTTTTATTATCAATGAAAATTTTTTGGAACTTCTTGTAGACTCTCACAAGATTTATTTATGTGTTATAAATAAAAAAGAAGGTTTTACTATTTTTGTACATTTATTTTGAGAGCAGGGTTTGTCAAACTTTTCTGATTATTAACCACGCAAAAATCATTGAAATCTCTCATGGACTCTTGCAAAATTTATTTTCAATAATGTGTTTATGTGTTGCAAGCAGAAAAAAAGCCTCTACTATTTTTCTGCATTTATTTTGCAATTTTTAATTTATTGATATATGTGATAATTTTATAATAGTCTTTTGAATAATTTTTTTGACTGACAATCAGTGAGCAATATTTCTTTCAAAATTAGCAAGTTTCAGCCTTTTTGTTAAAGTGGAAATAAAACATATTCATTATATATTTTAAATTTTATATTGATCTCCAGGGATTTGATGTCTGATGATGTTTAGTATGTCAACAATTTTATAATAGTCATTTTAATAATTTTTCTGACTGATGATCAGTAATCAGAGCAATATTTGTTTCAAAATTAGTAAGTTTCTGGAGATAAAATTTCATATTCAATATATATTTTAAATTTTATATTGATCTCCAGAGATTTGATGTCTGATGATGTTTAGTATGTTAACAATTTTAGAATAGTCATTTTAATAATTTTTCTGACTGATGATCAGTAATCAGAGCAATATTTGTTTCAAAATTAGTAAGTTTCTGGAGATAAAATTTCATATTCAATATATATTTTACATTTTATAACCCCCAAGTGACTATTTTGTGTCTTGCAATAAATAGAAAATAATTCAAACTATCGTGAATTTACAGAATAGAATTCTTCGAATATGCTCATAGAAAACATAACACTTTAGGGAATGTTTCGCGTTCTCCAGTAAAATTGTTTCCCCTCATAAGAAAATGTGTGTTTGGTACCAAAACTTTCCACTCTGGGAAACGTTATTAATATGTACCGTTCTTCCATCGATTCGCTGTTATTTCGCGCAAGCTGTTGCGAACGTTGAGAAATAGGATCCCAGGAGGGGTGAAGTTCCCTGGAAGAAGTTGGTCAAACGGATTTCGAATTCATGAAATTGTAATTTCCTACAGTGTGCACCCTCTGGCGCGAAATATTATGTGCGTGGAATTCGGTGAACTTTGTGGAATATCGCGCGGTGAATTAAGGAACGAACCGATTCCGAGAATCCCCGGCAACCGTGGAAAACATCGACGCACCCTTGTTCGGGGGAAACGAAAATCGTTAAACAACCGTTGGAATGCAATTTTCGAAATGCTCGCGCAAAGATTCGTCGAAACAGAAATTTGTGCGCATTAATGCGGTTCCGCGTCAGTATTCGCCGCTCATGTTGCCCAAATTGATCGTTAAATAACGTTTCGCGGATGCAAATCATCCCCCGGAGACTGCGTTCGCTCGAAACGGTGATATTTCGGTGCGAAGAAACGCTGACGTCGTTCAGAGCCTATCTCTCACTCGTTTTCTCTACGTTCATGGAATTTTCTAATTTTCCGTATCTCGCGATACAATTTCCGCACTTTATCCAACTTATAAACGAGGAACAAGGAACGAAATCGTGTGAATCGTTTGCTCCGGCGTGCAGCTAGCGGCAACAAAATAATCGCCGTAAAACTAACGAGAAAGCAGTATTCATATGTTATACAAAACAGCAATTAACACGTTGAAAGCTCAGCTAATTGTTTCACTTTCGTACGGCGTGTAAATAGAGAAAACGGGGAAGTTTTAAACGAGAGACAACGAACAAACTCGTTTTTGTCTAAAATTATTCAGTGAAATTTGTTGAAACGGCGTGAACATATTTCTGTTGGCATTAAATGAATTGTAAAGTGTTATTTTTTAAACTAAGATACAAAAATAATTATTCTAGAGACCCGTATTCAACGAAATTGACTTCCTCAATTTTTAATTGCTTGCTCCGTTCAGGTTTCTGACAATTCCTTTTCCATTCCAGTCGCAGAATCACCTTAATCATTCACAGATATTCTTTAATGCGATCAAGGAGTCTTACGCGAAAGATCTCGTTAATTTTACCCTCCCAGTTTCTGTTCTTTAAATACGATCTACCGACGAACCGGTCACGGAACGATATCGACGTTATTTCCTTTTCTATTTGCACAGAAGAGTGCTCTAATTTTATTTAATATTAGTTCTGTTCTGTTTAAATCTGTTAAAATATTCGAACCTGAAATAGATCAATTTTTCATGAATTTATTGAATATCGTATAACTTGTTCCCCTCCCCCAGAAGGTTTGTACAAAAAATCATGTATAAAATTTTATTCATATTTTTCTGGGGGAGAAAATGGGTTACGTATTATTTCGTTGATAATGGAAATATTGCAGGCAAGAAAAGTCAAATAAATTACAATCGTCGCTGAATATGATAGTGGTTTTTGTAACGCATTACGAGAAAGATTACAGTGTTTGTAACGGTTAAATAAATAGTTCAATACCGAAAGCGTTGATCAAACAATTCGCGGTTGGATTCGGCGATCTCGCGGAGCCTAGATCGATCGTAACGAGAAGAGACTTGCAATAAAGCCACGGTGTTTGTTTGTACGATGAACTAGCGTCGGATGTATCCGTTGGCATATTAAACGAGAATCTATTGAATAAATATTGACGTTCACGCTGCTGCTGGCGCGGCTCCGTGTTTGCCCATAGATTAACGAGGGTTAATTATCGCGAACCGCAGGTATATATTATAATCAGTCGCTATCTGCATACAAACTACTCGTACACGCTATGTATCGTGAGAATTCGACACGTGGCGTCCTCAGAAAGGTTACACAGACGTCTTCGATATCCTCCACCCACGCCACATACCAATTATTCTGAAAATTTAAAAAAAATTCCTTTCCTCATTTTCTCATAACAAAATATAAACCGAAAACTCGATACTCCAAGAAAAACCGTACAAAATTTTAATGTACACAATGGTGCAAGAAAAATAAATATGGAAGATCAAAAATTCGAATTAAAAGCTTGTTTTCCTCTTGAGAGAGAAATACACAATTTAACACTTGTGATAGACTGAAAAATTCATGTTTTATTTTACCTTTGTGAATTAAATTTTCTCCTATCAAGCAACATCAGAATATTTATTTTTTACGATGCATTGAAAAATCGAAAATCGATTACATTTATAAGAAATTAGTTTCACCACCAATGCTTTAATTGACACTGTCAAAACAAATATCTAATAATTTTTTTATTTTGCTACTTTAGGCTAACTTTGAGCCTAATGGACAATTATCAAAAATTCGAATTAAAAGGTTGTTTACTTTTTGAGAAATATATAATTTACGACTCGTAATAGACTCGAGAATTTATCAACTTTCAAATTAAAATTTAAAATTTAAAATTTTCACATCTCGATTAACCTCAGAATTTTTTATGATGCATGGAACAATGAAAAGGAAAATTATTCCTGTTAAGTAGTCTCGAAGCGTTTCATTTAACACGACGTTCTTTCGATCGAATAATTTCCTCATTTTGCAACTTTGGATCAGTTTCAGCTCTGCGTGAGTCTCGTTTTCTTCGTTACCGAAATTTCGATACTGCAGTTTGCAAGCAGCCGACGCAGGTGAAGTCAAATCGTGAATGGGGTCAGGTAACTTGATTCCTGCTTTCACCGAATCGTCTATCGAGGACCTTTCATGGTCCCCGGGTAATTACTGGACGTGCTTGGATCTTGTTACACCATGAGTATGCTTTTAATGGCTTACCAAGCCAGCCGCGACTTCACCTTTAGGCAGGTTAATTGCGTTAGTTGGGCACTTCGTCATCTTTCGCGTCATTCGTCATCTCGACGTCGAGTGTCGAAATTTCATCTTCCGTCGACTTTCGACCACGTTGCCACTCCAAAACGTTCGTCAAACTCTCGAGAGCCAAATTACTATTTTAACCCTTTTATCAAATACTTTACTCAGAAACCCTTTATTTATCAATTTCGTTCATTCTTTGCAAAAGCTCACTGCAAAATTATTTATCGAAATCCACAACTTCACTACTTCGAAAGAAAGGGTTAATCGAGAACTTAAACAATGCACATATTTTAATTTTTTTTTTTAAATTTATTGTGGATGGATCATTTGTTTATAGTTTCAACGAGAATGGAATCGAAATCTTTTTCAACTACAAAAATTATAACAAGAATTTTAGAAATTTTTTTTAAATGTATAAATCGTCACTTTTTGAATATATAATTTCTCGAATACGTTTCGATTATTAATTTCAGATACGTGGAAGTTCAAAGTGCATTTTTTCCAATGAATAGAAATAACGTTTGAATACTTTTGAGAGTTGCTGTACGCGTCAGTGTTCGCGAAGGGATTAAACACGATAGACCACGATGATGGTACTTTCGTTCGATTGATTTACGTTTATTCCCTTTATTTATATGTTTGCTAGGAAATATACGTTGTTCTTTTTCCTGACAGGAAATGGCTGACAGTCCTTTGTCACCGCGGCTGAAAAATCTAAATAATAGGTAGCCTCGTGACGTTTGCGTGGAGAACGAGTAAACTTGAAATTCGGCTGAAATTTATTGCACTGAAATATGGGAATTTTATTGTCAAAACCTGGAGCATCATACTTCATTTCATGAATAGTTCGAATCTAATTAAAACACAGAAAATAATTACCAGTGCAAACTACTGAAATATTCTTTCGTTTATATCGAAAATGTCGTTTCCAACAGGTTCAGCGAATAGTCGATTAAACCGATAACATATTGGACAAGTTGAATTTTCGATCGATAAACTATCGAGGAATGTTTATCGACTGTTATTCGAACTTGTCCAGCGAAATTCTGGGAGTTCCGCTAACCATGTTCAAATATTCGAAATTCTGTCTTGGGTGAAAGTTGCGTACTTCTGTTTATAG